CAGCGGACCCGCACAGTTGAGACGCACCTGCCAGCCACACGCCACTTCAGGGAACGAAACGTGAGCGCCGGGGTATTGTTGTTGGGTGAAAGCGTTCAAAAACACAGAAGAAATGGATGTGGTGGTGGTGTGCCATATGATGTGATGTGGGGGGAAATATAAGTGGCATGCTTGCAATGACAAATGGTCCAAGCTGTTGAAAGGACCTGTTAGCTTACCTTTCATAGACCTGTACAATAAGGAGACACTAAAAACACTAAAGAGATGATTCTACGGTATAGCGTATAGCACTTGCCATCTCCCGGCATATTGCAAAGTTCATTGCAATGACTCAATTTTTCGACCCCCTTCAATTCGTACATTTTTCAGGGGCCAACTTATATCCAATGCCTGAAATGTTGTCTTTCCCATTTTTTGTCATTAATCCATTGCGTGGTACTTGTCATCTGTACGTCATGCATGTTGAAATGTTATTGTAACCGCTCTATTTTCGGATCCCTTGAAATTGTATATTTGTCAGGAGCCCAACATAAATCCAACAAGGCCTTGTTACAGTATATCGACCATGCATGTTGCAGACTTTATTGTAATCATTCCTTTTTCGACCCAGAGGTGAAAAGAAAGTACCACGCAGTGGGTGAATACATGACATAAATGGGAAACAAAAAAATTGTAGACATTGTTGGATGTAAGTTGGACCCCGTGAAACATGCACAATTGCAAGGGTGTGCGAAAAACAGCGTGACTCCAAGAAACTGTCCCATATGCATGACGACCTAGAGATGACAAGCACCATGTGGTGGATGAATGAAAGAATTGCAGTATATAAAGAAACATGTATGTATTATTGGAGATTAGTTGGTGTGATTACTGTACAACAAAATTTGGGTTACGCATCATCTAGGGTGTTGGCTTGGACATGAATTACATTTCCTTGCGCTTCTCTCTCTCTCTCTCGAAGCAAACGGTGCAGGCGGTTGTCGACGCGAAGCGGCTTGAATACATATTGCTATTTGGGTCTGTGCTTGCATAGTTGCAGTGAATCTGAGTACTTGGGGGTGGGTTACGGTTGTTGATGTTGTTTGGTAGTCTTGGGGTCTTTGGCTCCAGCTCAAAGGCTTGGCAAGATCTTTTGACAAGAACTAAGGCTTGGCGGGTTGGGACTTTGGTCAGTAATCTGGCTTGTGGCTCAATGCTTCCCCACTGGCTGCATCCCTGTTCACCTCTTGCGTCACCTGGGGTGGTGCCTTCATATCAACTCTCTGCATGACAATGAGTCTAATCTTGGGTTTGATCAACTGTCAGTGAGACGAGCACCACCCCAGACTTTAAAAAATAATTGATATTATACATATATAAACCCAAGTCAGTTCATGAATATTCATGTCATTGACTGGCACTCCAAAGGCCTTGCCTCAGTCCCTAACCCAATCCGCGGTGGCCTCAGTCTGTTGAAAGGGGAGCTGCCGCCCGATCGGCTGCTGCTCCTGGTTTTGCTCCTGCGGTTCATTGGCCAAAGAGGTTCAGCTCCATATTGGTCAAAACTGGTCCAACGGACGGGGGAGATATTCACAACAAGTGGAGATGTTCGCCGAATTTGGAGTTGTGGCAATCGGGTGCCCATATGTACTGTATATATAATATACTGTGTATACATATATATATATGTATGTATACCCATATCCATCTTTGCAGCACTTGTTGCCCACGCCCCAAGCACTTTGACCTGCCTGAGTCACAAATGCCAGCGTCTTCAATCAAAGCAATCTCTACGCCGATGGATTGACGACCCTTTGGGGGGGCAACACAGCCAACATCGGAGCTTGTCTCAGCCGTGTCCTTGTCGGAGTTCGAGTTGGTCGATGCCACCGATGGCATGGGGGCCTTGTGCCCAACCACCTGACAGAGGAGGACTTGTTGGTGGAGGGACTATAGTTGACTATAGCGACTGGGCAATTGAAAGCACAAAGTAGTCAAAAAGAAAAAGGCACCCTGGCCGCGGCCCCACTCCCAAAACCAAGCCCTTCCAGCAAGTGTCATGTGTCGTTTCGGTCTGAGGACCCATGGCCTGGCCACTGATGGCGGGAGACCGGTCGGCCATCCGCTCCATCAGAGGTTCTGCTATGCCTTCCACCTTGGGCAGCGCTCGAGCCGTCCGAAGCGAGGCAGAGGCAGGGCGTAGAAGAAAAGGATCGGCCGAGAGGCAAAGTGAGTCATCAAAGCACCAAGGCCGCAAAGGAGGGGTGCCAAGGGGAAAGGCCTCGGCGACAGCTGCGTCTCTGAGACGCCATGCTGGTTGCAAGAGAGCTGAAGAGAAAGAATCAAAGACAAGGACATAGAGCTGCACATGATCGCATGGTTGAAAGTGCGCATGTTGTGGAAGCTCAAAATAAAGGTTGACTGCCGCAGAATCTTCTTCCAATTCCCCATGCTACACCAAATGCCACAAGATCCGGGCCAGATTCTAAGATTGAGAACGTTATATAGATTTTTAATTGCATTGTTGATGTTTTTTGGTGGCAAGCTCCACCCCGCGAGGCCACCCTTTACACAAGTCTGCTGAGGTCAGGAGAGCAGTTTGAATATGTGGCGTTTGCCAGAATGGCTGTCAGCAGTTGGTACACATCCAGGGCCCCAGGCTCTCCCTCGCCATTCTTGGGCATCATTACCTCGTCCTGGACAGCAATCAAACAAATGCAAGGGGGGAAGAAAGTTTGTACAAATGTTGGGTCCCTGTTCCATACGTATTGATATGGAAGGTACCCGGCATCGTTCCCCCAGTCGATGGATCACATCTGTTATCGCCCGGCTTGCTGTGGGAAGTCCTGTGCAAAACTTGAACGTGTTGGTTGTTCGTGCTTCCGAGTGGTGTTGGATTTTGTCCTGCAATTCTTCAGGATATCCAAACCTGTGGGGGTACCCACAAAAAGTCAACGGGTGTTCCTTGGTGGCCCTTGCTTGCAAGCAGGATGAAAAATCATAAGCAGCACAATGACAGCATGGAAGTGGAACCGGCATCGAAAGGTGCAGAAATGGGCACATGGTCGGTTCTGCCTATTTGTGAGGACACCCCAGCCAGACTCAAAGGATGAGGCTCAGGTTTGGTCTTGCTCAGCTCAATGCTTTGAGACATGAACAGCGATCAATCAAGTACTGTATGTAGTTACGCACCGTACTAATACTGTACAGTAACCTTTTCCGCGCCCAAACTTGTGCTTCCCCTGGTAAACCCCACAACGACGATCACGCGGCTCTTGCCATGCACGACCGATGCCCACTCCAGGGTGCCAATGTTGTCAGCAAGCCTTGGGTCATTGAGACCGTGTGGATTGATGCGCCTGCGGGCATATCATCCAACTTTGGGTGAACGAAAGGTAACGTGTATATAATACTATACAGTAGCTAGTAGGGTCCAGCAGGTTCGGAGGGGGTGTGATGGCAACTGTTCGGATCGAAGCTGAGCGCACCTGGTGAAATGCAGAAGGTGCATGAGGATGAGGGGAATTTGACCCGCCAATGATGAAAAATCCGTTCTTAGAGCCTTTGATTGCAATATAGCAAGGAGAACTCAGGTAACTGAGGCTATCTTTCGTGAATTGGTACGATGCAACCACCACTCCAAATCAGCCATTTTTATGGCTCTCTCTCTCTCTCTCTGGCGGGATGACTCGAGGGCCCCCTTATATATACAGTATATATATATATACATACATACATACATACATACATATATATATATATATGGGTTTGTATTTTTTTAAGGTTCCCGGGCCGGGATGTTTGACTATGGGGTATGCTTCGGAGGTATGCTTCGGGGGTATGCTTCGGGGTATGCTTCGCGCAGTGTGAAGACTAAAGTAGTAGCATTTCGAGAGGGTATGCTTCAGGGTATGCTTCGGGGTATGCTTCGCCTAAGTCGAACATCCCAGCCCTACATAAACTGGACACCTTAAAAAAAGACAAGCCCATATCTGTGTGTGTGTGTGATCAGGAGGCGAAGGCTACCTAAGCAGGCACCATACTCTCCCAACTACGTCGGTCTTGTGCCAGGTGTTTCCAGTGGCAGTGGTAGAGCGCGGGCAGACATGTCTAAAAACCGGTCGCCAGTAGCGGGAAGCATCCAGGATGTTGGACTTGGTGCCTTGCGGAATGCTGCCATTCTAAGTCGAGGGTCTGTAGGACATTTGTAGCCTTGTTACGTCTTGCATCTGCTGGCTATGGTGTCCACTCTTTGAGGTCCCGCTTTGTCCAGCCCCTGCCAGCCCATTCAACCGCCGATGAGAAACAAATGAACCAAGGCAGCATTGAGAAGGCCACCAGCTACGAAGGCCTCGGCCAAGGCCATCAGCCTCCCACCTGCGGCAGAACGAAGAGGCGAGGCCGGCGACTATGGAAGGCGAGGCGATTCGCCCATGTGGTCACCATTGGTGGGGGCCATGTTTGCACTGCATACATCGGCATGTATTATATATATGATATATCATGAACATCATTTCTGCCAGTCCATTTCTGCCAGTCCGAACTGTTCAAACCACGAACATGAGCAGTCGACACAATGTTGCTGCATAGATCACGGATTGAACTGTGACTGAACCAAATTTGAGCATTGGCGCCTTTCCGCTCAGCCAGCTTGGCCGCCAGCGCGCCCAGCGCGGCCACAATGAAGATCGCCAGTGCGAAGATCCACTTGGGCATCATAGCGAAGCAGCGAAGTGGCAAGGGCAAAAAGAATGCGTTCGCAAAGAGATGCCTCTTTGAACGGGGACCTTGCATGTGCGTGCCTTGGCAGGAGTTTTGGGGCTTAGTGCATATCTAGATGACAGCCGTGGTTCGCCGGGCTTTCTTCGACATAAACGCAGCGGCGGCGACTTTCTTGCGAAAGACTGCAGGTAAGTGGTAAGCGTCTTCTATGTGGCAATTGTTGAGTTGAGTGTGCCAGGCCCATCAGCATGTCGCAAGCTCCAGTCTTGAACTGGAGCCCCCGAAGCAGGCTGCCCGGCGAGCGGATGTCTTTCTTGCGCCTGACAGGCCGGAGATGGATCAACGGCACTGCGCCCTAGGGCAAGAGAACCTCAGGCCAAGCCAGCTCAAATCCTACTGAGCCGAACTACGCCAAGTTGGAACCAAACACCAGGTGCAAACACCTGTGCTGATACACCACTCCTCATTCTTATTTACAACAACAACACGTCCTTGATCGTCTTGGGTTTTCTGAGGGGAGCGTGCCGAGGAACAACAAAATTAAATTGGTTCTTCAAACCCTTCATGGCCCTGCACTTTAACAACCCAAAAGGAATATTGACACCCTGGCTGAAAGGTGAAAGAAAAAGGAAGAAAAAGAAGAAGAAGAAGAAGAAGAAGGAAAAAAGAGGAAAGGAGCAAGAAGTTGAAGGAAGATTTCTTTCTTTCTTTTCTTCTGTCTCTCTTTCTATAAGGCCTTTTGACCCTAGTTGGTCTTTCTGATTGTTTACTCTCTTTACTTCGTTCTTTCTTTCTTTCTGCCTTTCTTGTCTTTCTGTCTGTCCTTTTTTCCTTTCTTGTCTTTCTTTCTGCCTTTCTTTCCCAAAAGGAAGTGGGACAAAGGAATAAGTGCCGGTGCATCTTCGGTTGAACACCTGGGACTCCGCCCAAACAGCCCAGGGGCCCAATGCCTAGAACGCCACAGGTATGTCGTTTCCAAACCCGCGATCCTTCCGCAGGGCTGACTCGATGCGTGCCTGCCAATCGTGCATTCTGGCAGGGCCAAAGCAAACCATTCCATTAAACAGGTGCTTCGTGCATTACCAAGCTGAAGAGAGTTCAGGAAGGAACCACTTTTTGAATCAAGCTGGCTCCTCCAAGCATGGCCAAGGTGTGATTGGAGACACCCTATAGCCCCGGACTTCTGCGTCCCACGGCCAACATGGGGGCCAATGATGCCAATGGAGAATCTACCCGAGTTGTGCTGCACGAAACCTGTCGACCAGCCGTCCAGGCCCCCGACCGGCAGCTCTTCCTCAAAGGCCTAGCAGGGCACCAGGCTGGCTTGCAGGTCACGACAGGCACTCCAACATGACAGCAACTTGAGAAGGATGATCGGCATTTGGCGGCCTGTATGTGGTTTCCCCCATTTGATCTAGAGGCAAGAGCCATGGATAGTCAAATTGGTGCAGAACTACCCTTTCACTTCACTTACGGAAGTGGAATGTAAGGTCACCCGGACGTGAACACCCCCCCCACAAAGAGAAGTATTCCGGATGTTTATTCGCAGAATGACTGAAATGGCAATGATGCTTAAGAGATCTTAAGAGCCTGATGAACGCAGCGGCTCCATTTCAAAATTGGTGCAAAAACACCACAACTAAGTGACTAAGTGGGTGCCTGGCTGGCCCCATGGTCATGGACTCGGGGTCGTGTAAACGGAGGCTTGGAGTCCGGAATTGCTCCCAAATGTATATAAGTATGAAATAATTATTGAAATAGCTTGTCAGCGATTGGTGGTGGGACATCAATCTGAGCTCGTGTCGCCTCCTTGTCTCATTGTGCCTCCTTTGGACGGACAAGGTGTTCAAACTGCCCATTCTCCTGTTTGGTACATGCTCATGTTGTTGAGACCTTTGGGAAGTGCCCGAGTTCCCCACTCGCCTTTCGTGCCTTTTGTTCAGAATGAAGCTTTTCAATTAGCTCCTGGCCAAGGAGCTCCAATCCGCGCATGAAGTGGACTCCCTGACCAACTCACGGACCCAACCCCCCTTCCCAAAAGCAATCGGATTGCACGTTGCCACTTCCAATGTCCGGAATGTGTCCTGACAGCCAATCTGCACAGCTGCCAGATTCCAAAGTCTATCTGTCTCTCTCTCTTTCTTTGGGGTGGAGCCCTGCGACTGCTGTCCTCCAGCTGCCTTTCCAAAGCCTCGTCAAAAACGAATCGCGTCAAAGGGTCCAATTCAACTCCGGCTCCGTGGGGTGCAGCACTCAAGCAGGCCTTTCAAACAGTACTGTAACTGAAGTGACACTCAGTCTGTATGCATGTATGTACTTTCTCTCTCTCTCTCTCTCTCTGGCGAGTCTGGCTGTCAATCAGCCGTCCCACACGGACACTCGGCTGGTGAAAACAGAAATGTGTGTACATGTGTATGAGTATGTGTATATATATATATATACGCACATAGGTGTGTGTGTGTGTGTAACCCTTGGAGTCATAGGGATGCTTTTGCATTCACTTTTGTTTTATCGCAGGGGGATGCCGGGGATTTCCATGGTCGGCATCCAACGAAGACACCATGGATTTCCTGTGATATGAGTCAGGGACGCCTGACTCACGTACCTGCTTTTTCCTTGTACTGAATGGCATGAGGCTAAGCCCAGGACCTCAATAGCTGCAGACATGCACGGAACGCCGTCAACCTGTCGCCTCGTCGGTTCGTGGCCTTTAACTACAGGAACTCTGGCCCCCTTCACCTGGCTTTTCAGGATTTGGGTCTCTTAGGCCGGCGTGTGGCACCGCAATCAAGTCAGTACGCATATCCATGAGTGTGTTTGGCTTCGTGCCAACCCGGGATGAGCCCGCAGAGTGCCTCCCGTGGACCCGTCGAACGGGTGTACGTCGAACGTATCCACTGCCCGGATACAGAGCAGCTCGCAGCGAGCGTAGGTGGCCTAGGCCGTACGTACGATGATTTTGTCCCATCTTTGGAATTCCAAGTTGGCTCATGCCTTTACGTGACCGCAGCGGTCAAAGCAGCCAGCCGCTTCGGCAGGGCACAAGGTGACCACAGCGGTCAAAGCAAGTTTAAGGTCCATTGGGACCTGTGGAGAACTTAGCCCCCTTCTCCCCTGCCCTCCCCCTTTCTTTCCTTGCTTTATGGGGTTTTCCTGAATGTAATACTCAGGATCTCCCCTTTCCTTCTTTGGTGTGTCCCTGGACGATTCTTCGTAGCTGGGAACACCTTCCTTTCTCTCCTCTCCCTTTCTCTCCCTCTCTCTTTCTTTCTTTCTCTTTTCCCTCTCCACCTTCCTTCCTCCTTGGGTGTCCCTGGATGCTTTTGTCATAGCTGGGAACCCTTCTCCGCTCTTCTTTTGGTGTGTCCTTGGACGCTCGCGTCGTAGCTGGGAACACCTTCCTTCCTTCTCTTTCCTTTTTCTCGTCTCTCCCCACCCTTCCCTCCTGTCTGGACCTTAGCTTGGGTTGCTACTAGGGGCTCTTGGCCTTCCTACTAGGTCGCTACTTGACGCTACTTGAGGTTCCTGGCCTTGCTACTACTTTGTACCCTTTGGCGCGGAGCTTAGAATCTTGCCTCCCTTCGGGGAGGCGTGTGTGTGTAACCCTTGGAGTCATAGGGATGCTTTTGCATTCATTTTTGTTTTATCGCAGGGGGATGCCGGGGATTTCCATGGTCGGCATCCAACGAAGACACCATGGATTTCCTGTGGTATGAGTCAGGGACGCCTGACTCACGTACCTGCTTTTTCCTTGTACTGAATGGCATGAGGCTAAGCCCAGGACCTCAATAGCTGCAGACATGCACGGAACGCCGTCAACCTGTCGCCTCGTCGGTTCGTGGCCTTTAACTACAGGAACTCTGGTCCCCTTCACCTGGTTTTTCAGGATTTGGGTCTCTTAGGCCGGCGTGTGGCACCGCAATCAAGTCAGTACGCATATCCATGAGTGTGTGCATGTAGAGAGAGAGAGAGAGAAAGAGAGTTAGCAAATGTAAAAGCACATGCTATATCAACATCCTGCTGTATGGCAGCCATGAATTATCTGAGCAACCCCGAGATAATCTCCTTCCCGAGAGAGATACTGTAGAACAGTGATTTCCCTGGGGGCAGGGTGCCTACGTCAAGGTTGCAGCAACTTGAAAAGCTGGTTGTCATATATAGAAAAAGATGTCAACCTTTCTTAGAAATCAGATCGATGATCCAAGTGTGTTGTTCATATCACCTGGTGATTGTCGATTGTCATTTTGATATGATATGATCCAGTTCCAGTGCTCACTGTTGAACATTTGTTGTGTTGTTCATCTCATGCATGAGGAGAGGGCTGGAGATCTTGACCTGTGCACCTGTTGATGTCCTTGGGTGATCAAATCCGAAAATGCGCAGCGCTGCAAGAAATACTTGGAACATCTTTGAACCACCGCCGGTCAACCTGAGGTTGTTTACCTTCCCAGAATTCCACAGCCTGCAGCCGCGCCGAGCTTGAGCTCGAGGTGCGGGTGCCGTTGTCCACAGTGTCCTGGTGTGAACACTCTCAAGCGGCAGGCCTAACGCATCGATGTGGCATGTTTTCATGGCGTTCTTGTTCTCCTGAAATCGTCCAACATCCACTCCCTCTCTCCCTCTCTAGCCGGTTGCCCTCTCTCTCTCTCCCCTTTCCCCCTCTTCCACCCAACCAACCTTAGAGGTGGCCTACCTGCCCTTTCTCAATTATCCCCCACAGTCACCGCCCAACCTTTGGAGCTGGAGCCACAGCAGCAGCTGGCAGGGCAGCCTGTCCAGGGGCTGCCCAGTGGATGTTTGATGGTTTAGACTTCCTCGAAGTTGCGGACGTCATCAACTCCCAAAAGTCTTCCTTCCAAGCCTCCTATGGCCTCTTGGGAAATGCCATGATTGGTTGGTTGGAGGAGTGCGACTCCCTAAAGATTGACATGGAACCGAAAGGTCACCGCGCAAGGTCGACAAAAGGCCACTCCTTCCGATTCTAGCTTCTATGGGCAACCGAGGCCTGGTCGTTCGATGCCTCCCTCCATCCGCAACTACCACCACGTTTTAAAAAGAGACAAAGAATCCATGTATATATATATATATAACTATATATATATATGACTTTTGCACAAACTGAATACATCCCCCCCATCTCTCTACCTCTCTCTTCTCCAGGTCTCCATGAGATTGGTATGGAGGGTTTGACTTTGTGTGACCTTGGGGAGTCAGAGAGTCCAGTTGTCGATGAATCGAAGACATCGGAAAAGCGTTGAAAGGGATCCTCTCGGTCTCCGTGCACGCCGCACTTGACGGGCGGCCGCACTTGACGGGATCCGCACGCGGCATCTGACGTCCAAAATCTCTGCACCGTTGGACATACCCCAATTGTCCTCAACCACCGCTCAGCCTTCAGGGGCACTGCACGTGGATTCGGCGCAGGCGCTTCCTGCATTCCACTGCAGGATGATCGGCAATGACTCGTGACAAAGCAAAACCTGTTGGGGCCATTTGGCACAGGGTTTGAGCCACGAAACACGTGCGGCCTGCCAGGATACTGTATGTTTCTGAAGCCCTTATTTTGTCAAGTGCTCCAAATCTCCCAGACACCCCTCTGGAAAGCCGGGGCAGAACTCATGTCATGGCCCACCCCAGGCCATTGCTCTTCCACACGCCTCAGGGCGCCAGCTGGGGGCAAGCCGCTGCCGTGCCTTCAAGGCTACGCTCAGCTGGCTGTCCTGGGAACGGACGTTTTAGGACACGTACCACAAAAATGGCTTAGCTTGCGGGCAAGGCCATTCCACCAGCTTCAAAACTGGTAAGAGTGGCATAACATCTACAGAGTTGTTATTTCCAAACACTCACAATACACACACATGCTCGAAGCACTCAATGATGTTCGCCTTTTCAGCCCCTTATCCAGGACCCCCATCAACATCAGGGGGGATCCATGCACGCCCAGCGGCCAAGTCTGCTGCCAGCGCAGCTGCCTTGGCCTGGAGCCGCGCCCGAGTGCGGGGGCTCTGCACGGGGCCTGGCACTTCCGGCTCCGCGGGCTGCGCGGATCGGCCGGACCCAAGTCTCCAGGCTCCAATGAGCAAGCGTTTGTCCAGATCGACTCGACTGTGGCCGCTTTTGCCCACTTTTTTTGTGGCATCCACGAAGATTGAAAAAAGGTGCTGTGTTATGTTCAAGTTGTTTTGAAACCTGTTTCCTCGAGCTCCAAGTGTTTCCTCAGCTCTTGGCTGGCGCCAGCCGACCGGGATAGGCCACCTGCAGGAAGAGGCCACGCATTTTGTGTGTGTGGGCTAGAACACGCAGCCACAAGAATGATCTCCCTACTGCGACAACCACTCGCCCGTTGCAACAGCAGCCCATGCTTAACACCTCTTCAAAACATGGACTTGTGCTGTGCATTGCTGCTCTGCAAAGATGGCCAGGCCTGCCAATGATGCCGCCTGACCAAGCCAAGTACCACTGGCGGGTCAAACAAGTTGGGTCAGGCTGAGAAATTTTGGAAACAAACACCCGCAGGCACCCCTCAGTCAAACAAAGGCTCATTATATATTCAAGATTTGCCTAAGAGACGAGTGTGTCGACTGGCAAACAGCAAACACCGAGGATCATGCACTGGTTTGAGACACATCGAGCACCTGTGCGTGTTCGCATGTATTCGCCCATGCCCAAGCTCACACCCTCCTTTGGCCCACCTCCACCATCGTGCAGCTCCGCCGTGAGGTCGGTGCTACTATTCCAGGCCACCCTCTGTGTGTCTGCAGTGTTGGCTGGAGTGATCTATATATAACTTGGAAGTAGGGTTTGTTTATGTTTGATGCACGCATGTGTTAGACTATAGACTATAGATTAGTTGCGGCCAGGGCTGCACGAACCTTGTTCTTTCGGGTGGCAAAGTTCCATTTCTCTCAAGCAGCTACAGTTTTCTGAAGGGTTTGTGCGGGTATAGGTTGACAGCTGTGTTTCAATCAGCGTTCCTGCAATCATACCAATGTACTAAGGGGTTCAGCAACCGGGCCCATCTTAGCTCCCAGCATGTCTTCACCCCCCAGGCTGTGTTTGAAGTTTCCCCTATCTCCGTGTCCGTGTGACGCTGAGAATCAGCCAATCTTGAAAATGCAATGATTTGGTCTTCTTCCCCATCTTCCCACACGTCTGAAAGTATGTGGATATCTCCAAGCCCCTCCTTGAGGAAAGGAGAAGAGTGCGGGTGAATTAGACTTGATGGTCTGAGACTGGCGGAAGTTCCTGCTGAAATTCAAGTCTGGCTGCCAAAGCCTGCACCAGGCGAGCAGAGTCGACCGTTCTGATTCCCACAAAACAGCGATCAATCGAATGGAATGCATCTCAAGCACAGGGGTTGGGGCCAATTAAACAGGTGGCTTGATACCCAACTTGGCCATCAAGAAGGCCATTACTCTGATGGGAGCCCAAGCACGTTTTGACGAGGAAAGGTCTCTGCAGTGTATCGGTCCAAAGGCTGTTGCTCAACATGACTTGACCCTTGTGTCAAGAAACTTTGGATGCAGCATGTGGTGCTGAAGACCTTTAAAGAAGACATGCTCTCTAGACTCTAGATCACTGAGTGAATACTTAAAGCCACAGTTTGCTGGCTTTGAGCACAAAGCACCCAACTCCTACGTCTGCAAGATTCAAAGGCCAGCCCCACTTTGTGAAAATGTCTCAGTCCGCTTCATATCAGGCTTCAGTCTTTCTTCGGGGGTCGCCCGATGCCCATTGACCCATGCACCCATCGCTCACCCGAAAAGGCTCTGATGTCCTCTGGCTCCTCATCGCGGGACCGAAGAACCTCAAAGGTGAGTTCCAGCAAATGCCTCGATGAGCAGCTTTGGAGGCCCTAGAAGCCCTGCGAATGGAACAGGCAGCAGGCATTCTTGGTGCCAACTAGCTCAACATGCATCATGGAAGGAACAGGTAGATACGATTATAGCGTGCTTCTGGTGCAAAATGATATATGATGCAAAAAACAAGTGTTGCAAAACTTGTGTGCTTATTCTTGACCAGAATCCCAACAATCCAACTGCAGCTTCAGTGTGCTGAAGCCACCTCGCCCAACACGCTCTTGGAGCCCTAAAACTCTGCACCACAAGCTGATGTCAAATTGTTCTACATTTGTCTCAAACATGGAACGGGCCTACACTCTACACCAATTGCTGCTTATGCTAGGGTTCCAGGATTCGTTCTGTGTCGGCCATCTCAAATCTATTGGAGCAAACTGCTTCCCATCCTCAACACAGCCCCTTTCGCCAAAAACCAGGTGCCGCACGCCGCGAGAAGGAAGTGGCTCTCAGCAACTTCCCCTTTCAGCTCTAACACTGCGAACCTGGTCAGGAGCTACAGTACCCACATCGTGTCACAGCGTCCTTCTTTGCTGATCTTACTTTTGACCTTACTACTCCGTGGAGACTCTGCTGCTCTCCCCCTTTTGTAACCACCATGTCGGCCCACCGGGAGGAAAAAGGGTATTGTACACCAAGCCAACTAAGCAAAAGCCATGCATAGGGATCTGCTGCGATAGATAGCCTGCAGGCTTTCCCGCCTGTGCCAGTAAGCCCCAATCTCAGCCGCAAAGCTGTCGAGTCGGTCGCATCCTGCGCCACAGCGCAGGAAGCTCAACCAACACCTGGCATCTTGGCGGTCCAAACATGCCGTTGAACCATGTTCAGTCGTTTTCAGCCGTGAAACGTCTCCAAGGATGAAATGTTCGCAGCACCCGGCCGGTCCAGGATGCAAGAGCGGAGCATGGCGCTACAAGGTCGGTACAGTATGGTACAGTGGCATCCCCCATAAGGACTATCTGATCCAGCCTTAACGCCTCCACTGCAGAGAGGGCATCTGCTGCACTGGAGCCTGTCAGGCTGTAGAGGCTTGCTCAAGGGCCGCCACAAAAAACACTGTGGAACGTTGCCTCCTTGACGGTGCTGAATGTGCCCCTTTTTTTGAACACTCCTCTCCTTGCTTTGGCGATTTCTTGCACAGCATGGAGTGTTGCAACGTGTTGCAAAAGTCTTACCCGGCACGGCTGCTGTCCAAAGACAATGGACCTCAAACGAACAAACATCGACCCAAATCCACCCCACCTGATTTCAGGGGGCTTAGCACACTTCGTCGCAGCACCGCCAAAAGCTTTTCGGGCTCCTGGGTGAAAGGGCTCAAGCGACTTCAAGCTTGTACACCTTGAAGATGAGGCTATGACTCACAAAAAATCAGACCCAGCTGTCACCAACCTGCAGAAATTAAACTACCTTACTTTTACGGTGCCCTATTTTCGAGCCACAGCCAAGTCCCACTTGCATCTTCGCACACCCCAAATTCACAATATTCACGATCCTCTCGCAGCCACCATGCCACAGCACGGCGACCCACCACTTCGCAACCTCAATCAGAACCATGGCGGACACGAACAAGTACCAAGTGGTACTCCTTTGCGCTTCTTCGCCTCTAATTAACTTTACTAGCCGCAGCGAGGCTTTCAAAGGCTAACGTGGCATTGGGGTCCCTTTCTGCCCCTCACTCCAGCAACACAGGAGACACACTCATGTGCCAAGTTAGTTCCTCCAGGTTTCAGAATATGACTGGAAGAAGCAGCAATCTCATGATGGGTGGAGCTTTACTGAAAGGCCCCTGCAGGAGATTTGAACACCTTCTGCAACGTTGAGAGCCACACTCATGCGAACAAAGCGAATCACCTGCCGAAGCAAATTCGCAAGTGGTCATCCCAACTTGGCTGTTTGTTGGCGGTCCGTCATGGGAGAAGCCCATTTCTCATCAACATCCTAGCCTAGCTGGCCGAGCTAGGCTGTAGAAACAGTGGAGCCTTTGAGATGGCCAAAGTGCCGTTTCAGAACTCATGCTCTCTTTCCGGCCCGTTCTTTTCCCCATACATCCCTCCCACTAGGCCAAAAACAGGAAGATACCTCTGGCGCCCTCGCCCGCTGAAAAACGCCTCCGGCTGGATCTCCGACTCCGACTCTGCAGCTGCGATCCACATGGAACGCTGCTCCTCACGCAAAAGCCTGACCGTCAACAGAAAGGGTTCCCCACAACTGAGAGATACGTGCCTGATGCCCAACGCAGTTTGAGGGAGGAGCTCGGAGATCGTGCGAAACCCACTTCTTTAGTATTTACATAGAGGCCGCTGGCAAGCAAGTGGTGCATAAGACCTCATAGACATTTGGGGCTCATCATCACGTTTTGGAACAGCACACCGCACTTCGCACCTGGCGCACAGCTCTGGCCGCACCACAGACGCAGAGGCCAGAGCACGGGCCAAAAGTGCCAGCTGCTTCTCATCAGAGACAGGAGGCAAAAGCCTGGAGCCACAAAGAGTTCCGCTCCAGACTCCAGAACCCACCCATTATAGGAGACCTTGATGTCGCTTGAGGCTTCAAGGCCAGTCTGACACGTCTGTTTTTCACCAGAACTTGTCAACACATTCCGCCCCGTGCGCCGTCAGCAACGCAAGAGGAGAATCGAACAGAAGTGAGAAGAGGACACTCAGTGCAATCCAACATCCATTGAAAGCACCCCTCCCGGCAGCAGCTTCCGATGTTGCACCTCCCCAATGCTGGGACGCCATCACATGGCAAGAGTGGCTCGAGGACCTGAAGCATGCAGGCAGGTACCACTGATGCAAAGTGTGCAAATCACTGGAAAACACAAACCGTGCCTGCACCGCTGTGACTTCGGGCTCCTCTTTGGCCCCTGAGCCCGGTGAGTTGCTGTTCGCGTCTCCAAAACTGTGCGTGCAAAGCGGCATGCCACGCGGTAGCACAAACAGATTCCAAAGAAGAGAAAGGGGTGGAACAAAACTTGTGGCCCAGAGGGGGGGGCGAAAGCTAGGCAAACAAACAACGCTGGGGCTCTTTAGGCAGCAAAAGCCTGGCCGGGAATCGCAACATGCCATGGCCAAGGGAAAAGGAGAGTGCCAACAACGCCCCCCCAATACGACCCCAACACAGCCAACACATGGCAACACACAACCACCCCAGCAACCGCCGCAGCAGCAGCAGCAGCAACAGCCACAACAACAATAACTGTAACCAGCAGCGGCAACGGCAGCAAGCAGAAGCTACCAAGCAGCAGCAGAAGCAGCAGCAGGAGCAGCTAGCAAGCAGCAGCACCAGCTACCAAGCAGCAGCAGCAGCAGCAGCATCAACAGCAGCTACCAAGCAGCAGCAGCAGCTACCAAGCAGCAGCAGCAGCAGCAGCAGCAGCTACCAAGCAGCAGCAACAACAGCTACCAAGCAACAGCAGCAGCAGCTACCAAGCAGCAGCAGCAGCAGCAGCTACCAAGCAGCAGCAGCTACCAAGCAGCAGCAGCTACCAAGCAGCAGCAGCTACCAAGCAACAGCAGCAGCAGCAGCAGCTACCAAGCAACAGCAGCAGCATCAGCAGCAGCTACCAAGCAGCAGCAGCAGCATCAGCAGGAGCCACCAAGCAGCAGCAACATCAGCAGCAGCTACCAAGCAGCAGCAGCAGCAGCAGCAGCAGCAAAGCAAAGCAAAGCAGCAGCAAAGCAGCAGCAGCAGTAGCAGCGACCAAGCAGAAGCAGCATCAACAGCAGCTACCAAGCAGCAGCAGCAGCAGCAGCAGGAGCAGCTACCAAGCAGCAGCAGCAGCTACCAAGCAGCAGCAGCATCAACAGCAGCTACCAAGCGCAGCAGCAGCATCAACAGCAGCTACCAAGCAGCAGCAGCATCAACAGCAGGTACCAAGCAGCAACAGCACCAACAGCAGCTACCAAGCAGCAGCAACAGCACCAACAGCAGCTACCAAGCAGCAGCAGCAGCAGCAGCAGCAGGAGCAGCTACCAAGCAGCAGGAGCAGCTACCAAGCAGCAGGAGCAGGTACCAAGCAGCAGCAGCAGCAGCTACCAAGCAGCAGCAGCATCAACAGCAGCTACCAAGCAGCAGCAGCAGCAGC